GCCACCACGCTCTGCTAATTTTTGTATTTTTAATGGAGATGGGGTTTCACCATGTTGGTCAGGCTGGTCTGGAACCCCTGACCTCAAGTGATCCTCCCGCTTCGGCCTCCCAAAGTGCTGGAATTTCCAACCCCGCAGACACTTCTGATTCTCTCTTTTCACTGTTCCCTACCCTCCCCAGCTGTGGTGTCCCCAGCGACGCCCTCCTGCGAAGGCGTGCAGTGCGCAGCTGGGCAGCACTGCCAGGTGGCAGGCGGGAAAGCCCAGTGTGTGGCGGAGTCCACCGCTGTCTGTCGCGCCCAGGGCGACCCCCATTACACCACCTTCGACGGCCATCGCTACGACATGATGGGCACCTGTTCGTACACGATGGCGGAGCTGTGCGGCGACGACGACACCCTGCCTGCCTTCAGCGTGGAGGCCAAGAACGAGCACCGGGGCAGCCGCCGCGTCTCCTACGTGGGCCTCGTCACTGTGCACGCCTACAGCCACTCCGTGTCGCTGACCCGCGGGGAAGTTGGCTTCGTCCTAGTGAGTACCCGGAGGCTTCTGGGGGTTAACATCCATGAGCTGCGGGTCCGAAAGCGGAGGCAAAGCCCAACTGGCCGACCTCAACCCAGGGTGCAGAGAAATGGGCCATGGGGTTGGAGGGTGGAGAGGGGGATTTGAAAATCAGTAGCAGGACCTTAGAACCCTGCCCTCCAGTCATCCCACATCTGGAAATTTTAAGGATATTCAGAGACAGGATTTGGGGGAAAAATAACGCCAACATGGTTTATAATAGCATAAAACAAAAGCAAACGAAGAAAAAATTCTGTCCTAGTTAGAAAGGAAATTAAATATCCAACAATGAGGGATTTATATTGACCAAATAACTAAATTTAATGAGCACCTGCTGTGGACCAGATATGTTTCTTAGCAATTTTCTCATCTTAATGCATTTAATGCTCACAAACTCTGTGCAGCAGGCGTTATTATTATGAGCATGTTCAGACTGGGAAACAGGTTGAGATAGGCTAGTGACTTCCCAAGGCCTCAGAGCTAGTAAGAACTGGAGCTAAGGGCACAGGCATGCAGGCTCTGGAGTCCCTGTTCTTAATCCCTCAGCTGTCCTGACTCTGGTAAATGCATTTCTACTCAGTTCATATGAATAACAGCAGCCTAGCGCAATTACTTCCTTTTTTCTCGCCATGTTATTATGAAAATGTTAAAATGTCCAAAGTTGAAATTCTTATACGGTGAATGCTCACATGCCAATCACCTAGATTTTTCTTTCTTTCTTCTTTAATTTTTTCTTTTTCTTTCTTTCTTTTTTTTCTTTTTTTTTTGAGACAGAGTCTTGCTCTGTCACCCAGGATGGAGTGCAGTGTTAGGTTCAGGTTCAAGCAATTCTCCTGCCTCAGCCTCCCAAGTAGCTGGGATGACAGGCATGTGCCACCATGCCCAGCTAATCTTTGTATTTTTGTAGAGAAGGGTTTCACCATGTTGACCAGGCTGATCTGGAACTCCTGGCCTCAACTGATCCACCTGCCTCAGCCTCCCAAAGTGCTGGGATTACAGGTGCCAATCATCTAGATTCTAAACACTGTACTCTTCTTGATTGATCACACACTGATCCATCGGTTCCTCCCTCTGTCCATTCCACAATCTCTCTTATTTTTTATGCACTTCAAAGTTCCACACATCAGTACATATCACCCAAAAGACTTCACCATGTCATTAACTAGAATACAATATTTTTACACTTCTTTTGGCTGATTTTGGAGATGAAATTTATATATAATAAAAATCACAAATCTTAACTATATAGTTCACCTTTGGCAAATGTGTAACCAAATTGCCCATTAAGATATACAATATTTTCATCACCTGGGAAAATTCCCTCATGTGCCTTACCAAACAGTCCTCAACCTATCCCTAGAGATGATCACAGTTCTGATTTTTTTTTTTTTTCCCAGCATAGATTAGTTTTGCTGTTCAATAACTTCAGGGCTGGGCACAGTGTCTCATGCCTATAATACCAGCACTTTGGGAGGCCTAGGCAGGTGGATCACTTGAGATCAGGAGTTAGAGACCAACCTTGCCAACATGGCAAAACCCTATCTCTAGTAAGAGTACAAAAATTAGCTGGGAGTGGTGGCACATGCCTGTAATTCCAGCTACTTGGGAAGCTGAGGCAGGAGAATCGCTTGAACCTAGGAGG